GTATCCACCCACAGGCTAAATTTATTCACAAGGGTGAGTTGGGGCTACCCTGACTTGTGACTCTAGGCAAGTATGAGGGGACTCTCAGGCAACTTGAGAGGTCTAATGGAGGGAGAAGTGGGGGGGTTGGGGAATGAAAGATACAGAGATTAATGGGAAGCTGCCAAAAAGACTTCAGAGAAAGAGGGCCACACCCGTGACACACTGTGATTTGAGAATAAGCCTGTGAGCCTGAAGGATTTGACTGCTCCCAGCGAAGGGCTCTTAGCTGCCAGTTATACCGTTACTGTAATACAATCCCAGAAGGAAAAGCCCAGTGTTAATCGGGGCTCAAGAAGTCAGTGGACTTGATGTACAGAATGGGGTATTTAATTTTATGATGTGGCTATGGGTTACATGGGAGACTAATAAAAGAACTCCATAAAACATGGCTTGCAGCAATGGGGTTACAGCTTCTGCCAGAGGGGCAACTTGGCTCAGAAGTGGTTTCAGACTGGAGCTGCTCTCTGGCTGGTATGTGCTACTGTGGTCACTCTGGTTCTTTTTTTTTTTTTTTTTTTTTTTTTTTTTTTTTGGTTTTTCGAGACAGGGTTTCTCTGTGGTTTTGGAGCCTGTCCTGGAACTAGCTCAACTGCAATCCTTCTGTGCCCATTGTTAAGGAACTACGGCTCTCAGCTTCCCTGACAGCTGACCTGCTGCCCTAAATGGTCTCCCCAGACATGCTCACGATCCAGCCAGCAGATACAGAGAGCCTGCACACCCAGCCCTACACGGTGTCTCTAATGCCACATTCCTCTCGAGAGAGCAGTACCTCTGCAGAATTGCTTGCTTGCCCTTTAAATATCACCCATCCTGCAAGCATGTTCTCCTGTGGCTGGGTCTTCCAGATGCCCGTGGGACAGATCAGCGACACAGGTCCCAAGACTGTCTTGCACCAATCCCTCAGCACCTATAGACTTTCTTGAGGAGCGCTGCAAGGACACACCCAATCTTTCCCTTGATTCATACTTGGCAACCTTGAAGGGAGCTTTAACAGGCCTGGAGATGACCTCAGGGCAGAGGAACACTTGGAAAGAAACAGAAAAATTTGCCTAATGTTGCCCAACTGAGGTTGCCTTACAGTTGGAATCAGAAAGATGCTTGCAACATCCTGAACTCTTTTTATAGCCAGCACAGACCTTTCTTTCAGGAGACTGACAACTCCTTCTGGGCCAAACCCTTTGCCAGGGAGCATAGCTCCTTAGAAAATACTGCTGTGTGAACCAGCAGGGCCCAAGACGTTAAAGAGCGTCAGATGTGAGCCCTTCTGTTGAGCAGAAATCTCGTACAACTTGAACTTCAGTCTCCAGTCTGGATCAAATTGTAAGTCCAAGGTCAGCCACAGCACAGCAGGGCTATCTATACCACACACAGTATTGTCCAGTGAACAGAGAATGGATTTAGCCAACAAGCGTGTGTTGACCAGCTCCTAAGTGCTAGGCAACAGACCTGGTGCTGGAGTCCATATGAACAGGAAGTGGTTCTGTTCTGAGAGGGCACAGGGAACTTGTGCTCTCATGGGATGGTGGGAGGAGACCTAGGGACCTGGGCTGATGATCATTGCCTTCAAATTTTGTTCTAAGCCCAGGTCCATCCTGGGTAGGGTCCACCCTGGGTGACTCTGGGTAAGAAGCATCTGTCTCTAGTCCTCGTTGGCCACCAGAGGTTACCAAAAGCCTGCGAGGCCACTGAGAAGATGAGGCCTCATTTTACATACTCTGAGATGGAAACACCAAGCTCTGCTTACCGTCTCCTTCATTCTGCTCTCTGACAACTCCTAGGAGAGTCACGTGTCTACGCCTGATGTGCTTCCCTGAGTGAACAATGGGACAGAATAACTCTTTCGTCTTTCATTAGTAAGTATTAGATGATGTAGACAAGAAAAAGAAAGGTAAGTTTTTATAACTTAGCACCCAGTGATAGTAGTGTGGGGTTGATCCTTGCAAACATTTTTTTAAAATATACCTATAGATGTGGGAGACATACACACAGAACATATCTGTACATACTGCCTTTTAAACCACTTATTTTCCTTATAAACACAATTTTGATTTTTAATTACATATGTACATCCATTTATGTGTGTGTGTGTGTGTACATGCATCTTACATGCACAACCGTAGCACAATATACATGTAGAGGTCAGAGAACGATTGTAGGAGTTGGTCCTTTCCTTCTACCATGTGGGCCCTGAAGTATGAGCTAAGGTTGTCAGGCTTGGAGGCACACCCCTTCACTCACTGAGCCATCTTACTGGCCCATAAACACAATTTTAAAGTAAATCCAATGAGCCCAGGATATTTCTCTAAAGATTTTTCTCCCAAGAAACCAGAGGAGAATGGAAGTTAAATCATGTCAGTTGTGAATGAGGAGCCAGCCAGGGTGAGCAGATCAAGCGTGCTCTTTATAGTAAAAGACATATTGTGGGCTGTCTAGGTTTTGTTAGCTTAGAAGATTTGCTGCCTTCATCCTCGGCTTGAGCCTGATAGTTAGTCCTCCTGATGGAAAGATGGCGGCAGGTCGTGGAGAAGCGAGAGTGTGTTGGAGCTTTTGTGGCTATGACAAGACACCTGACAGAAAAACTGAAGTGCAGGAGATGAATTTTAGTTCAGGGATACAGAGGTTTCGGTCCGTAGTTCCTGGGTCTGTCGGGTCTGGGCCTGTGATGAGGCAGTACATCTTGGCAGTGTGTGACAGAGCCTGCTCACTTCATGGCAGACAGGAAGCAGAGTGAGAGAATGGGACCGATAGGCATGACAGTCAAAGGCAGATTCGCTTCTCCCAGCTCCCCAAAAGAGTGCCACCAGCTGGGGACCAAGCATTCTACACATGAGCCCAGGGGAGCGGAGCATTTAATATTTATACTGTTACAGAAGGCTATCCGGGCTTTGATGGAGCTGTGGAGTAAAGCTTTCTTCCCTGGGTACCAGTGCCTGGCAAGCTTAGGGCTGATGCTCACTGTGGTGAGACCTGTGTGTGGCCCCTTCTCATTCATGACCCTAGAGAAAAGAACAGTCATCATCTGTGCTGGACCGTCTTCCCTAACTCAGCGGAGAAGCTGAACGTGGAGAGTCAGGGGAGCCCCTCATCCTGATGTCTCGACAGGGACTGGAGGGCCCTGTGTGCTGCTGTCCTGTATGCTGTGGTGTTTTAAAAGAGAATGGCCCCCATGGGCTCATCTGTTTGAATACTTGGCCCCCAACTGGTAGACCTGCCTTGGAAGGGTCAAGGCGAGGCCCTGTTGGAGGAGGTGTGTCATCATGGATGAACCGTGAGTTTTAAAAGACTCTCACCATCCCCAGCGGGCTCTCTGCCCCCTGTTTGTGGATCAAGGCCTGAGCTTTCAGCCGTTCTCGCTGCCCTGCCTTGGCTCAGCCATCGTGGGCTCTAACCCTCTGAAACCATAAGCCCAGTCAAATGCTCTCTCTTCTAAGTTGTCTTGCTCATGGGCTGGAGTGTTTGCTCCGTGCTTAGAGGCCCTTGTTATTGTGAAAGACACGGGTGCGACTGCCAGCGGTCACATGGAGGCTGGCCCTCTCCCTGGGTGTCATGCACACATGTGGCGCACAGATGAACAAGCAGGCAAACACTCATAAAATAATGAAAATAAATCCAAAAACATTTTTTTTTAAAAAAAAGTTGCCTTGGTTATGGTCTTTTATCACAAGAATAGAAAAGTGACTAAGATACCTTTCTATTCTGGCAGGGTTTTCATGGCTACGGAACCTCAGGGGCTGAGCTGCAGAGGGCAGTGATGCATCTATGGGACTCATCAGGCCAGCAAGGAAGAAGAGAAACTAGCAAAAAAAAAAACAACATACCAGGCAATGGTAGCACACACCTTTAATCCCAGCGCTCTGGAGGCAAAGGCAGGAGGATCTCTGTGAGTTCGAGGCCAGCCTGATTTGCAGAGCTAGTTTCAGGACAGTCAGAGCTAACAGGGAAAGCTTGTTTTAGAAAAACAAATAAATAAAAAGCGTCCTAGAACTCAAGTGAGAAATGAACTCAAATAATGCACTGGATGAGTTAAAAGAAGTGGTTGGAAAACCAAATGCAAAAGCATCCAAATTGTAGGAACCACATTCAAAGAGATAGAACTCAAGAGACCAAAGCCAGGGTGAACTGGCTCTAGGGGACCTAAGACGTCAATATGGAGTCACAGAAGAAAAAGAAAAATGAGCGGGTTAAGAGGGAAAAACTAAACCGAGTAGGGAAGATAATCTCCCTGACTTGGGCCTGATATTTACGTGTTTAGTGCTCAGCCTGTAGTCCAAGCTGGCATTGAATTCACCCTGTAGCCCAGGCTGACCTCCAACCTTCTGCACCAGCTCCCTGAATGCTAGAATCATCACGCAGAAGAGCTCCTGGGATACCCAGAGCTGAAAGCCATGTCCTCAAACTCATTCAGGACATCATTGAACAGCAGGTGTGAAAAGAAGGTCATGCAACCTTTTACACCAAGGGAACATAATCACAAAGAAAGAGGAGATTGTGTCAGAACATCTCCCCTCTCTCCCTTCCAACCGTGGGAGCCAGAGGGAATGCTGCTTGCAAAATACAAAAATCAGCCAAAATTCCCTCTACTGGGCAGGGCAGGAGTGTGAATGAGTGTGTGCGCGGCTATGTGTGTGTTGTGTAAGGTTAAAGTTGTCTTACATGGAATTCGTCCTGCCATCCCACCCCAGAGCTGACCAGTTGGTAAGGATGTTGCCCCAGGTAAGGGCGCAGACCTGGCTGAGACTGTCTCTTGGAGCTTAAGGCAATTCCTGGAAGGGATTTGTGCACACTCAGCAGCTGGAGGGGGTGGGACGGGACACTCAGCGCCCTTCTCAGTGTAACATGGTCTTGTGCCGTATGTATGCAGATGTTACCATGTGCTGGGATTTTCCACAGAGAGGTAAGGGCTCTGATCTGTAGATTTTTACTGATTTTCTTATTTTGTTTGTTCGAGACAGGGTTTCTCCATGTAGCCTTGGTTCTCCTGGAATTGCTCTGTAGACCAGGCTGGCCTCGAACTCACAGAGATCCTCTGTCTCCCGAGTGCTGCCTCCGCATTCACCACCACGACTCGTTTACTGATTTTCCGTGGTAGAAAGATCACCATCATGATGGATATCCAGGTACTCGTGTGTTGTTGTGGAGCAGAGCACTGTATTGCCGGTGAGTGTCTGGGCAGGCTAGGTATTTCACTGAGCCTAAGATGGCATCAGAGAGTTGTGAGAGACAGGCCGACTTAAACATCTCCCTCACTAGGAGCCCTTGAGCTCCTCCGTTCGCCCCACTCCGTTTTTCGGCTACCTTTTATCCAGCCTCGGGTCCTTATCCCCTCCCTGACACCGACTGGTGTGTTCCTTCAGGCAGCACTCGCTGAGGAATCGCAGACTCTTGTTCGCGGAAGGTCTGTCAGAACCGGAAGCTTCTTCTCGGTGGGTAGCTGTGGTGACCAATGAACAGCCAACTTTATGGAGGAGGCTAGCAGGAAACAGTCTTTGCTTGAGGGACATGCGGTCTTTGGCGCAGAGACAGACCTCCCGACAGGTTATGGCTCTTTGACTTCTGTGTGTGATACTGCTGTATCCCCATGCCCACAGAAAGGCTAATTATAGTTATTTCAAAGGCCCCAAGGGGAGGAATTGATGGACTCCAGACTTTCAAACCAACAGGCCCAGAGGCGGGAGACAGGACAGGAATGCAGGGCGGTTATGAATGAGACCTTCTCCAAAGGCTTTCTTCTTTTTACCCAAGGTTTTGTTCGGGTTTTTTTTTTTTTTTTTTTTTTTTTTTTTTTTTTGCGAGAAAAGGAGAAACGTAGATTAAAAACCAAAAGCAAAACCCAAACCCAATTCTACTAACAAACTCTTTTATTTGTCAGGGTCCTGTTAATTCACCCTGTGACCGTGAGGTATCAGACGTTGAAGCCATCTCCTCTCACATCCATCAGCGTGCAGGAACCCGTCACTCATCCATCAGTGAGCAGGAGCACGTCACACATCCATCAGCGTGCAGGAACCCGTCACTCATCCATCAGTGAGCAGGAGCACGTCACACGTCCATCAGCGTGCAGGAACCCGTCACTCATCCATCAGTGAGCAGGAGCACGTCACACGTCCATCAGCGTGCAGGAGCACGTCACACGTCCATCAGCGCACAGAAGCACACACCCAGGAAGGCAGGAAGCTCCCAGCATCCTAGACCAAGTGAAGCAACAAGAACCTTGACCTGGCTAGGAAATGAGCCGTGCTTTGGCTTCCCAGCAAGCGCGACCCTGGAATGCAGGCATGAATCCCAGGAATCCTCCAGTCACACAAATGGCGTGCCTAGGAACCTGTCTCAGGAGCCTCTGTGAGCTCACCCAGCATGCTGGCGTAGGCACTGAAGCAATAGCTTCCAAATTCATTTGGGTCAAGCCTCTTTTCTCCTGGTTTCACGTTTCGTGTCTTCAAACGAATTATATTAGATTTCTTGGGCACCCTTATAAATTTCTGTGAATATGTACTTGTCTAGAATACTAAATTTCAGGGTTTTTTTACCCCCCCCCCCCGGGTCTGACCTCTTAATTACCTGTTTGTAGTTAGTTAAGGTTGGCTGTGTGTGGTTTTGACATTCTGCCCTTTCTCCACCTCCGCTGACTGATGAGTGAAACTCGAACCCAGGGTCATGCGTACAATGAGCATGCCTTCTTCCCCTGAGTTATAACGCAGTACGAACTATGTGAGAACCACTCTGTTTGGGCCTCTAGTCCTCTTTGGAAGTGCTTGTGTGTGTTTCTATATGGACGCTAACATTGGGAGAGATTTTTTTCTAAAAGAAAGTTCTTGACATACTGAATTTGACACAAAAAAAAAAAAATACTTAAAAAAAAGTCTGCGGCTCTATGGCACCCGGCAGAGTTGCAGGTGCATTGCCCTTTGGGGGTGGGGGGGGGGCTGTGTTGGTTACCTCTTCTCTTTAGCCCAGCAGTGGTGGCACATGCAGACAGAGGTAGGCGAATCTCTGAGTTCAAGGACAGCCTGGTCTACAGCACTAGTTCCGGGACAGCTAGGGATGTTACACAGAGAAACCCCGTCTCGAAAAACAAAGCAAAATAAAAATTTAGTTTATGGGGCTGTAGAGATGACTCAACAATTAAGAGCACTGACTGCTCTTCCAGGGGACCTAGGTTCAATCCCCAACAACCCATAAGGCAGCTCACAACTGTCTGTAACTTCAAGATCTGACACTTTTAAAAAGCTTTATATATATGTATATATATACACATATATATATATATATATATATATATATATATATATATATAATTTTGTGGGGGGACGGGGTTGTGCTCATGAGCATTCAGGGAGACCAGAGGCACTGGAACCCTGAAAGTTGCCTGATGAGGGTGCTGGGAACCAAACTCAGCTCCTCCGGAAGAGCAGCCTGTGCCTGTTACCTGCTGAGATATCTTTGCAGGTCCCTTTCATGGATATTTGATGGAAGGAATGAGGAGCCCATTAGGAAACATTCATATATTTATCTATTTAAAATCTTCAATTACTGTATTTTCTATTCTACCGGTATTATATGACTCAAGGGCTATTGTACTTTATAGTATGGAAGCAACAGGGGCAGGGTTGGAAGAGGTTATTTGTTTGGTTTGATCCTAAGGGAAGGCGCTTCTGAACTGTTTTTAGAGGAGAGTATTTCTCCAGGAAATACCACAACCTACTCCTGACTTAAAGGAAAAGCCCTAGGCTAAGGTGAAGCTCTGCCATCACTGGCTGCTCCTGCATCCAAACATCATCTCTCTGCAAACAGCTGCGGCTCTTCTTCATTGTGGACACAAGATTGGACTTAGGATGAGAGATGATGTGACCGAGATTGTCGGAGAGTGCTGCTGCCCAGCAAAATGTGTGCAGATGAAGGGGCATGGGCACTCAGGATCCCAGCAGCCATACTCACTGCTATCTGCCCTCTGGTCTGACATTCCTGTGTCTCCATTTGTTTTTCTATAAACCCATGGAGAAGGTATCATTCAAGGAAGTTCTGCTAGATCTCAAAATGAGTAGCAAGAAACCGCTAGGCTAGTGAGGCTGTGGGATAGCCCTCTGGTATGTCTATTAGAAATAATTTCCAACACTAGATATGTGGATGCACATCTGTAATCCCAGATATTTAGGTGGCTGAGGCAGGGGGATTCAGAGTTTGGGTCCAGTCTGGGCAATTTAGCAAGAGCCTGTCTCAAAGTAAAATAAAGGAGGAATGCTTGTATTTGCTGCAGGTTTTCTCTATCTCTGTCCTTGTGCATAGCTGGTGTGGTGGTTTGATAGCAATGGTCTAGACTCAGGTGTTTGAAGATTTGGTCCATAGGGGGTGGCACTATGAGGAGGTGTGGCTATGTTGGAGAAACTGTGTCATGAGGGGGTGGGCTTTGAGGTTTCAGAAGCTCAGATCAATTCACTTCCTGCTGCCTGTGGAGCCAGATGTAGAACTTTCAGCTTTTTCTCCAGCACCATGTCTGTCTGCATGCTGCTTCCCATCTTGATGATAATGGATTAAGCCTTTGAGACTGTAAGCCAATCCCAGCTCAATGTTTTCCTTTATAAGAGTTGCTGTGGTCGTGGTAACTAAGAAAGTTGGCCTGGCCTTTTGGCTCCAATTCAGTTCGCAGCCCCTGTGTGGATTCCGCCCCTCTCTATTCCCTGCATGAACACACGCGAGTGGCTGCATAGCACAATTATAAAAGGTTTACACATCCAGTTTAAAAGTTTGGAAATACATGCAAGTATAAAATTATCTGTACTCCCATTACCCAGCAATAGCTACTGTTAACTTTTCTTTTTCTTTCTCTAATTTTAGTTTCCTTTTTCCTTGTTGGTGGAGGTCAAACCCAGGGTCCCATGTTTGACAGGCAAGTGCACGACCATTGAGTTACAGTCACAGCCTCATATTCTAGTTTATTGATTTTTGAAGCTTTTTTAAAATCTATGCATCTATGTGCCTACTTTAGAACATTCTATATGACATGTTTGTTTATTTGTTTAAGAAACATTTTATTTGGAGATCGTTGTGGATTTGCATGTAATTCTAAGACACAATACAGAGAGATCTTATAAACTCTTCCCTCAGCTTTCTCCAATGGCAGCATCTTCTGTAATTATGTAAAATATCCTAACTAAGAATCGATACCGATAAATTTCTGGGGCTTTATTCACAGTCTTGCAGGTATTTGTGTGTATGTGTGTGTGGGTGTGTTTACTTTTGTAAGAGTTATCCCTTGTCCTGACTGACCACCTCTAACATAAGTTATCACTACACCTAACGGTGACCCTCCACATATCTTTCTTCGGCCATAGGAAACCATCTCCTTTATAACATGGTCACCTTCTTCCCTCCAGCCTGGCCTCTCATCACCTCCTGCCAACATTGAGATTTCCTAAGAGCTTGCCTAGTTTTATAGCCTGTATCTTCACAGACCATTACCAATGTCCCAAACATCATTTAGAAGTGGTCCACCATATTGATACATCATCATTCCATACTCAGTTTAATTGATTAGGTTACTGTTCGTTACAAAACCTACTGTGATGAGAATCTTTACATACATGTCTACACATCTGATTATGTACATTATCTACCTTTGATATAGCCACAGAATTGAAATTAGTATCCGAATGGTGTGGAAAATAACGGTTTAGATTGCCAAATTGCCTTCAAAAAGGTTTCTCGTTTCAAGTCCCTTCAGTGGAGAAGAATGCCTAATTCACTATCTTCCTTTCGTAATCAACTTACAAAAGTCATCAGAGTGTGTGTGTGTTTTGTTTTCACTTATGTACTTGATTATTAATAAATAAATAATATATAGATATTAGTGACTTTCTACTTATATTTATCTGTCACATGTTTACATTTTTTTCTATGTAGAAAATGGCAGTGCTAATATTTTTCTTACTAAAATGTTACAGAAAAACCAGCAAGCCAGCGAAGGGCTTGAAAATCACTTTGGGACAAACTTGTTTGTTTATAATATACACCACACAGTCAGTGGCATGATTCTGATGCCCCCTCAGAAGGACAGTCGCACATATAACATGGAGTCTTTTCAAACACACCTGTGGTGATGTTGGGTATTGAGTGTCCTTTCTTTGGGTGGTGTCCTGGTTGTTTTGTGTTGCTGTGGTGACCAGGTGACCAAAATACCCAGCAGAAATGACTGAGAGCAGGAGAGAGTCACTGGGGCCCAGGGGTCCGAATGGGAGTTCAGTGTGCCCTATGGAGAGGAGCTGGTGAAGCTGATGTGACAGGAATGTGAGCTAAGTGGCAGTCACATGCTGGTTGGGGCGTTCTGAATGAGAATGCCCCCACCCCTGGCCTGTGTATTTATATACTTAGTCCACAGGGGGTGGCACAGCTTGAGCAGGTTCAGGAGCTGTGGGCTTGTTTTGGAGGAAGTCCATCACTAGAAGCAGGCTTTGAGCATTTAAGGACCCCAGCTATTTCCAGTTTGCTTGCTCGCACGTGTTCTCTCTCTCTCTCTCTCTCTCTCTCTCTCTCTTTCTCTCTCTCTCCCCTCTCTCTTTCTCTTTCTCCCTCTCTCTCTGCTTGCTCTCAGCTTCTTGTTCCTGCTGCCTGCCTAGCCTGCTGCTTGTGGCCATCACCCCCTCCACTTGGCCACCATGAACTTTTATCCCTCTGGAACCGTAAGCCAACATAAACTTTGGTCCTGGTGTTTTATCACAGCAGCAGTAAGTAAGTAATAGCGTGGTGGCACATGACGCAGAGAACACAGGCCAGAAACAAAGGTAGGTATAACTTTCAAAGGCTTACTCCGTTGGCCAGGTTCCAACTCCTAATGGCTCCGCAGCCCTGAAAAAAAAAAGAGGTTTACAAGTTGGGGACCAAGCACTCAAAGCATAAACCTACAGGGGATGTTTCAGATTCAAACCATAACCGGTAGCGGAGAATACACAGGGCGGCTGCTCTATTGCACACTTGCTCTTCCTGTTAAATCTGCCCTT